TCTCACATGATGACATTCCGTTTCAAACTTGGTTGCATTCATGAGCCATGTGCATGTGTTTGAGCAAGTCTCACTCACATCCATGGCTTAACTCTCACATGATGACATTCCGTTTCAAACTTGGTTGCATTCATGATCCGTGTGCATGTGTTTGAGCAATGCTCAATATATATAATCACGATTAAAATTATTATTTTTTTATGAATTGTTTTTTGCAAGTTCAATAAGAAATGGGCAATACGCATACAAGTTTTCAAGGCATTTTGCCAAGCTTAAAAAAAATGAAAAATTGTCAAACATGGTGATGTTAAAACGTGCTCGACTACTCGGTGTTTTGCTTTTTTTTTCACTTTTCACTTTTTTTTTTTATATTCTGTTTTAGTGCCTCAAATATTTTATTATTTTTTGAAATTATTTGCACGAGTTTTGTATTATGTGAGGTACACATACGGAGGGTTTCAGGGCATTTGGCTATCCAAAAAAAAAAAGAGGAAAAATCGGCAAAGATGGCGATGTCGAAAACAGGTTTCCACCCTCAATAATTTTAATTCTCTAATTTTTCTTTTAATTCTCTTCTATTTCTTATTCGTATTTATTTTCCTTTTTTTTTCGTTTCAAATTTGGTAAGGAATTTGAATTTAATGCTCAGACTTACGTAGCACCGTGTTCGCGTTCAGAGGCGGACACCAACATGTTCGCCCGAATGCAAACAAGCGCCAAAACCCCTCCGAACGCGAACATAAAAAAATAAATAAATCAAAATTCTCAAACAAATATGAAAACAATATATGCTATGTTAAATAATAATGCAAGCAACTTTTGCCTTGGAGTCATATTCAAATTCGTAGGCAATCACGAGTTAAAAGTCAAAAACCAAATATCTACCTATATATCTATATATCTATATATCTATATCTATGTATATATATGATGAGTCGGTGAAACTCCGACGAAACAGTTTGTCACAGCCCCTCGTTTGTTGTCCTCTTCTCCCTCTCTGCCTACGGTTTACCGGGCAGTTCT